AGGCCCACATCGTGCGTGGCATAGCCGGAAACTTTGACCACGATCTTCAGGCCGAGCAGCGCGTACTTCGTGGCCTGTAGGTTCCAATGGGGAAAGAACAAAACAAGCGATTTAATTCGCCAATTCGAGTGTGGAGCCTCAGGGGCGAAAGCCCAAACCGGCCCAAACCTACCCTACAATGCCTTTGATAAGAGAACCAGCCCTTGCCCATGAAGACCTGTGAAGCCTCGAAACACCTTAAAACCTTTGGAGTTACGGCTTCAGCGACAGCATCAGGAGCACCCCTGTAGCCCAGGCATCGTCCCCTCTTTTGTACTTACCGGCATGGGCACTCTCTCAGCCTACATTGCCCAACCTCTCTCAACCAAATGAGAGCTGGGACTCGTGCATGGACCCTAGACCACAAACAGAGCATACGAACCGATGGGTAGTATAGTAGTGCGACCGGAAACCGAAATGCTCGAAATACACACAGCTCATACGAACAAGGTCCTCGGAGAGAAATAAATCTTACCTCCACATCAAGAGCTGCTGGCAGTAACATCGCGAACGGGACTGACAACAAAACACTGTAAACTGTAAACAGCAATAGCAACAAAAACCTATAAGTAAGAAGAAGAGAAACTCAACCTGTAGCTTCAACACCACTGAGGTCTAATCAAACTTAGCTAACAGGTCCGAGTATCCCCATCGAAGCCCCCAGCCCAAACCTGAAATCCCAGGGGCCTGGATATTTGGAACCAGGTCTGGGAAATCTTCAAGGAATCTTAAGGCACAATAAAGTAAGAACTGGCAAATGGGAGCATTTCAGCATTTCGGAAGACTGGCGCAGACGAATCCCCAAACAAGGAAACTACATGTGTTCAGGGTATACATCTTTTGCCACTGGGCTTGGGGTTACCCCGATCCTTGCAGGGTATACATTGAACAAAACACCTACCTTCTTGGAAAAGCCCTATGAGATATTCTATGCTTTACAAATGTGTAACGCTCAGAGACGTTGCATGATCACGTAGCCAATACCCGTTCATTTGGCAATTGAGTCCTTCACCGTTGGATTTGGGGCCCTCTGTTTTCAAGCAGTTTGCGTGCGAACTCTCTCAAAGTGATGGACATGGTAGTTTTTTAGCACTCGCACTCGAGCAAGTCAGTCACAAGTACGGTTTCCAGGTCAGCACCTGGCTGTCGTAGGTCGCGCCGCCACGATCATGGAAAGTCGCGTTTAGCTCCACTGCGCCCAGACGGCCGGCATACTTGGGTGCTGCAGTTCCCATGAATCCACATGTGCCTTGTCAGAGGTACAGTAAGCACTTGTGGGGGTTCATAGCCTTCCCTAACTTACCCAAAGCCTTTTCAGATCGGACTTCCGGCGAAACAGTTCAGAAGGTTGCGTTTTAGGATTTCGGGCTTAGGCTGAGGGACTTCAGGGTTCAAGCTCAAGGTCTGCATCTCGGGCTCCGTGACCTGCTGAGCCCTTGAGTCAAAGTCTCCCCGGAGCCCTGAACCCAAACACCCGGCAGCCCCCAAAAACCCTCCCTGAACCCTGACACCAAGTCTGCCGACCCGAAAGTTAGACGGCAGCTTCTTTTTCTTGACCTCCAGGACCTTCGTGTTCAGCGGTCTGGGTTCGTCTTCCTTGTTGCCTAGGGTTCAGGGTTGAGGATTGTTGACTTCCATCGTGCTGACAGAAAGTAATCCTAAAGAAGCTATGACATGACTAACAGAAGTGCAGACATAACGCGTGTGATAAGATCGCCCAAAGTACCAAAACTCCTCATGCCCCAATAACGACTTCCAACCGCCCCTGCAATGCCCTTGCCTATCACCTAACTAACTCCTCAAGCCTGCGAGAAACTGAGACCCTGAACCCTGATCCGTGCCCAAACCCCAAACCCTTTTCGCATCCAGGTCTCTGACGTGCCGGGTTAACATACTGTACGCAAAGGCTTCCCCCAAACCCTGAAAGCCAAAACATTTCTGCCTCCTTTGTATACATATACATATATATATATATATATATATGTTATACATTATGTGTACATAAAGGTGTACTTGTATGTGTGTATGAATACATACAAAAAATGAATTTTATATATATATATATATATATATATATATATGTGTGTGTGTGTGTGTGTGTGTGTGTGTGTGCGTGGGCGTGCGTGTGCGTGTGCGTGTGCGTGTGGGTGTGTGTGTGTGTGTATGTACGTATATGTATATATATATATATATATATATATATTGTTAAAATACATTTAATCCTTCTGGGCCCAAGGGGCCAACCAACAGCTCCCCCAGGCCGGGTCGGCAGATTGACTTTGGAGCCGAGAACATGTCCTTGTTTTTGGGACTACCCAGATGCTCCATACTAGTTCCTTTTTGGGATTACCTTATCTTGACCCCCAAAACTAAGGAACTACTATGGAGCCTATGGGTACGGGTTCAGGGCTTAGGCGAGCGTGGTGACGTTTGCTTTTTACGCCGTGGCCTGAAACTGCAAGCCGTTTTTGGGCTCGTGGCCCATGTTCGAACGCAATTGCGGGAGGTCTGCTTGCGTGCGGTGCTCGACAGATCAAACACAAGTGGTTTGACACTGTTTGCAACTGAGCCTCCGCCACGTCCCAGCCCGCCTCCTCCCCGAATGTCTCGCAGTTCGCCGCATCCGCCCAATCCATGGCGTCCTGGGAAAAGGAAACTGGAGACCGCATCTGACGGGTGGGTGTTTCCCACAACTCCACACAAGGTTGCCAGGACTCCCGTGTCCTGACGCTGCGCCATCTGGGCAAGCAAGTACTCATCCTCGAAGCAGGCATGCCGTTTGCGAAATCTCTCAACCTATGCCCGCAGTTTTCAAAAAATCGGGCCTCTTTTCGCCATCCTTGTTACTTTATTGTAAGTTTTGTTGTTCCGATGGGTACCTACAAAACGAGAACTAACCGCATGGTAAAATTAGAACCCATTAAACTCAGGATCTGCAAGAAAAGGTGCGTTGTTTTCCAAGCAGGTCCTCTAGGAGATCCAACGGTGCCCAGATGCATGGTGTACGACACAAGGTCATGGCTCTACCGAGCTAACTTACGCTCAGGTGTATTCCCCACAGTCAAGAAGTTTGGGCTTCTTTTATGTTCAGAGACCGTTGGTGCAGCGTAAGATGCAACTGTCGGTGAATAACTACAAGTTTCAAAGTCCACAAAGCCCGTGGGTCCGCATGGCGAGTACCTCCAACTTGCTAAACGCAAACCCTACACTAGCATTCCCCTAAAGTTACCCTAAGCCCCAGAGCTTCCTTACTGGGCACCTTGGCCGCAGGGGATAGAAAGCCTCCTAATTCATGAGCTCTATATATATATATCTAATTATATATATATATCTATATATGTCTTATCAAGGGTGGTATCTCGCTCAAAGTAAAAGGTAGGTCAGTATAAAGCTGTCTTTCGGCGCTGTGAGTTGCGACGGCTAGACGAACGCTACTCCCGACGACGTCGGGCCCACCCCATAGGGGGGGACAGTAAGAAACCGGAGGGAGCGGTGGGTGGGTAAAAAAAATTTTTGTTCATGTCCTGATTGAACATGTAAGCATGTTTCCCTGGAACATGCTCCCACCTGTTGTGATGTTAACTACCTTGAGGGGCGAGCGCGGAGTGCAACACGCTAAGCTCCATTCAACATCACAAGCATTCCGATCATGCAAAAACCAGATCATGCATGAAATAATGAAATGCTGGAAAACAATCTCACTTGCGTAAAAACGCGTTGCTGAAAGGGAGCATTATCGCCTGAAGCCCGCAGGCTCAGATTGAGCATCGATACGTCCAGCCCAGGCTGTCAAAAGACAAAGCCAGCATAAAAATGCACGCTATCGTCTTATCAAGGGCGGTATCTCGCTCAAAGTAAAAGGTAGGTCAGTATAAAGCTCTCTTTCGGAATATTATACGGAGACGTACCTCCGATATAATTTATGGAAATTTTCGGTCCAATCCAAAGATATGCCGAAACGAGAGGCCCAATGTTTCAACTCGGGTGGCTGGAATCGCGCTGTGAGTTGCCCCCGTTTGGTAGCGCGATCAGAGCTCAGCCCAAGGCTCGTTGGAGAGCCTGAGAAGCATCGCCGACAGATGCGAAACATCAGGAAGCTCAAAAGCCTCGGCCCCGAAGTCCTGGCAGGCTTGAGCGAGGCCTCCCCTGGACGGCAGATCTGATGGGTTGGAAAACGATGCAACTCTCTCAAACCAGATCAGAGAAGCACTCTGGAGCTCGAAGTGCTGGCTAACTCTAGCCATGCTTCTCAGCGTCGCAGAATCCGCAGTCCCCTTCATTAGCGCGAATCGCACCGCTTCGTTATCAATCCAAGCAATGACCGGAGTGGACTGAAAATTCTGCCTCATTGCGACCCTGAGGGCCAAAAAGGCCCACATTTCGATCTGGCAGATGATTTGCTCACCCGCCTCTCTGACCCACAAATCAATCAGGGTCTGAGGTACCCTACAGAGCCCGCGAAACATCTGCGATCCAGGATTGTCCGCAGCTTTGTTGAGGGCCTTCGCGAGGAACCTAAGGCCCTTGTTGTAGAAGAAACCGGATCCAAAGTTCAGGTGTCCTTGCAGCTCAGGCAGAACCTTAGCTACTCTTGGAATCGTAGCCGCTTCCTCGATCATGGCGATCAGCTTGTCAACCCTGCCCGGTTTGTTCTGAACCGTGAATGTTCCTCGGCTTATGTCTTGCAGAGAGATCTGCACTCCGAGCGCAACGAAGGTGGACGCGAACCCTGGCGCCTTCTCTCCTTCCTGCGCGTGGGCCCATCCCAGCAGACTTAACATGCAAGATGCCGAGCTGAGCAGGATTGGGGCTCCGATGCTGGTGGACAGCATCGGGTAATCATCGAAGAAAACCGTGTTCAATGCCGTCAGATACTTTGCCATCAGAAAGTGGAGCGATCTAGAGACCCTCAGGAAGGAGAACACCGACGCCCTTGCCCCAAAGGGAAGGACATGGCACCTCTAATAAATCCAGTCCTCTCCCTTCTTGAAGCCTAGCACACAGACCCTACGACTCTCCGCGTCGATGGCCAACTGCTTGTAGGCCCGAGTCAGATCTAGGGTGCGTCCCAGCCAATCTCCCGCCAGGACGTCAGGATGTAACTCCGATCCTTGGTATGAGCCGTCACTCATGGCCTTCGCAATGGTTGCCAGGACGCATGTCAGAGCGTCCAGATCCATCAGAGACGCCTCGCAAGTGCGCTGAAAGGCCGCATTCAACCCGGATTGCTTGGCGTCATCAATCACCCGAAGCTTCATGTTGGACCCTTGGTGCAGCGCAAATCTAGGATTTAGGAGCCAGCTTTCCGACCCAAAATGATCGGTGATCTCCTTCTCAGAGAAGGGGCCCTCAACCTCTCCTCTCTGAACTTCTAGATCCGATGCCAGTTTGAGATCGATCTGCTCACTCTCCGGTGTGTCACTTTTCCTAGAGATGATCGCCTTCCTCCTCAGGCTCGAGGAGGCCAGGAGAGATTCGTGAGTGTCCGTTGCCGGGACCAGTTTCTCGGGCAGAGCTGGGACCGCACCATGCGACCTCGTCAACGGTATGCCCTTGGAGACGAGGTCAACAATGTCCATGTCGTCGTAGTCTGCGGCCAGAAGAAGAGCTTTCCACAGTAAGATCCTCTTCGGTTTGAGGACCTTGGCGACCAGTGGGTCAAGTGTGGACTTGAACTTGGCTTCCTTCTCCTCAAGCTCCTGCGCCATCTGCTTGACCGTGATGATTGACTGAATTGTAGACTTGGCCAGCACTAAGGGGTCCATCGTGAGGTTGTGGAACAGCGTCTCCTTGAGCAGGCTACTTAGAGACCTCTCCGGGTTCATGGGGTGCTCCGTGTTCTTGGCCTGCTCGAGAAATTCCACCGGGGTCCACCTGACCCCGAACCTGATCTAAGCCGCACCAGCGGCGAAGGGGGGGTGGGCTGGTGAGTTCCAAGCAGCAAGACCAATGTTCCGAAGCCGCACGGCGAATACCTGAGCCATGGCTCGACACAAGCCCTCCGAGTACTGCGCCTCCTCCGCCGTGGCAAAGCGCAAAGGTGCATGCGGGTGAGAGCCATCACAATCCTGAGCCAAGGCGGAGAGGTCAAAAGTAGAGGCGAGCCGAGTGCGCTTCTTCCGTTTCCCCCCAAATTGGCACGCATCGAGGTCACAGAAGCGAACCGCCTGCCAGGCACGCCGGAGGTCAGGGCCGAGCTCTTTGGACATGAGGCGGACGAGCGCCTCGAGAACTGGCCAAAGCCAGCTGCGTGAGGGATTCTCAATGACCACCGGCACATCATGATGGAAGGCCCACAGGACGAGGCGAATGGTGAGCTTGTAGATCTCGTTGGCGGATTGGACACGTTCACGGTCAAGTCCTCGAAGTCCAGGTTTACCCAGGGGATGCCGTGCATCTCGAAGTGGAGGTGGACCTGGAGCTCGAAAGCGACCTTGAAGACGACGAGGAAGAGCGCGTTCACGCGCTCGGCTGCACGTGCCGCATGGCACACCCAAGTGAAGAACACCAATGAGAGCGGCATCATCCAGCGCGGAAAGTAGAAGCTGTTGATGGTCCTGGCGAGAGAGATCCAAAGGGACAAAGGAATGTCAAAGGCGGTGTTGGTTACCAGGCTTGTCGATGGCCAGCGTGAGGAAACCAAGATCACGAAATGCAGCGGCCATCGCACCGGACCCAGAACAGATCTCCACCATGAGGGGACGAACTGAAGATGGTACAAGAGGAAGGAGAGGCGTAGGCGACGTCAAGTCTTCGGTTGACTGGGCGAGAGTGAAACCAGAAGCCCGCAATGCGTCAGCATGCTCAGGTGGTAGTCGCAGAGCCGGACCGACTGAGAAGGCCACCAACACCAAGCGATCACCAGTCCAATCACGAGTGGCATGCAGACTGGAGGCAGCTGGTAGAAGGACCGGACCATGAGCCACATCCAAGAGCACGCCATGCCGCAGATCACCTTGAAAGTCCTGCGGAATGTTGCCCGCGGGGTCCTCGCACCAAATCTCACCGTGCTGGAATTCCGTCAACGGCGCGACGAGGTTGAATGACCCGGGAAAAGTGTTGTTGTCCTGGTGGCATGGAGTCTTAAGGTTGTGGAAAAGAGCCACCGAGGTAAAAGGGAAGGATGGAGAAATGCGCCGCACGTGTGCGGCTAAAAGCGATGAAGTCAGGGGTAGCCCAGTCAAGTTCCGACGAAGGCCAACCTCGTTGGAGTAGACGTAGGCTCCTGTGGTGAAAGATCCTGAAACCCCGACCCCGACGCCCCTAGCCGGCGGTTCAAGCGGCAAGAGATCAAAGAGTTTCCGAAGGCTGGCACTGGAAAAGTCCTGAGCAGAAAGCACATGGCCAGCGAATTGTTCCGCATGCATACCTGGGTCACCCTGGGTGACCAAGTCACCGGTTGATAGTCACTCAGAGTGACGGCAACCCTTAAATGCGAAGGGACGGTGACATCCTTCTTTCCAGCACACGTGGAAGCCGTTCGAACATCGACCACCTTTCGCAGTTTTCACTTTGCAGCGACCCACGTTAATTTTTTTACAAATAGGTTTACCCCCATTGTACACAATGGTGCACCCTGACGGCACGACGATGGGAGTATACGCTGACTTAGAGTCAGTCGTCTTGGCCTTGGTATGGTCCTGTTGCACAGGACGAGCAGGTTGCCGTCGACCTCCTCCACGAGATTTCCGAGGGGGTCGATCCGAGGTCGGATTGCGATCCTTAGGGCCACCTGCTCGAAGCGGCATGAGATGGAAGAGGACATCCGGATGGTCGGAGTAGTAATTCATGTATGAGTCACAAAGCCGAATGTGGGGCGAGTCGGGATCCATCTCGGTGAGCTTAGCCCGGGTGTCCTCGGAGACCAGGAGCCACAGTGCCTTGTCCGCCGCAACAAGTTGAGCCAAGCCTGGTGCCGTATAGTTCGGCGGAGGCTCGTAGTGGAGTCGATCAAAGAGAGACTGGTGCCAGCGCTCCATGACGTCAAAGGTGATGATGTTGGCCACGTCATACGCGAGGGCCCTCCGCTGAAGGGCTACCCGAAGCAAATGGGCCGAGCCTGTATCACAATCCTTCTCATGGGAGGCGCTGGTGACTTTGATAGAGCCGTGAGAGTCGAATGACAACGACGCCTTGGGTTTTTCCACCAAGGCCTCAGCATGCCTAGACGTGCACTTGCCAGGGTGCAACCATTGAAGGACGCCTTCCTCCAGTTGTGCACATGCACGATCGATCATGGCATGGCTAGGGGTATTATGCGGAGTGAGTACAATCCCGTTGAGCCGCTCTCTTTGTCGTGCAAGACGTGCGACTTTCTCCTGGAGCGGGAGCACCTTGGGTTCATTATCAGATGGTCTTTCAAGCTTCGTCTTGAGATCCTGTAGTGCCAGCGCTTGTGCCTCAAACGCCAGCCGCCTCAGACTAGCCACACCAGACGGTGTCAATGGTGTGGTGAGCAGCCCGTTGACATGTGTCATGAGAGCTGCATCGTCAATTCCCGCATTAGCCTGGTGAGGCGTACAGAACGCCAATCCCGCAAAGGTGGCGATTCCTCCCGCGTGCATTTCCTCGATTGCCACCTCTGGCAACCCACATGCCGCGCAACGTGACTTGAAAGATGCTTCACTGTCTACATAGTGCCATGACTCCTAACGGAATTGCGACAAGCCGAAATTGGGTGAGAATTAAGAATGCTGCACAAGCGCGTCTGAGCTTACAGAGCAAGTTGCAAAGCCTCTTGCGTCAAGTCTTCACAATTGCACTTCGCTGAACTGGTCTCACTCCGACTGGTGGCTGCACTGGACACAGACGAAACTCTGCACACGATCGAGATTCCCAGGATCTACTTGCCGGAAATTGCAGGTAACCATGCGGCCGCATTTGAGCCTATGTTCGTTACCCTGAGCAGCTACGTGAACAATGCTACTGATCACATGTCGATACCACGTGTGCTCGCCTGCCTCCTCGGGCAGAGGGTCCCTCTGGATGTCCAAGACCTCCCTTGGATCAGCCGCACCGTCATCTTCTGACGAGGAGCTCGGTGGTGCATGATTGCTCTCCAGAGGGGCAACTTCCCTATGTCCCGATCCTTGCGCAACCTCGTCAGCGGCCATCACCTGAAGGCGCCGAGCCATGGGTGCATCAGGATCGTAATCACCTTCATGTATGGCCGTGATCATGCGCAGTACCTTCGCCTGCAACGCCAGCATGGTGTTGGCATCGTATGTAGTTGCCGACTTTGTTGAAGCTTCTACGTGATGTCCTAATAATGTGCGCTCTTCACGCGTGAACAAGCCTGAGCCTCCGGCCCAGTTAAGCAGCGTGTGCTTACATGAGTGTGATCTCAGCCTCTGCGCCTCATCCGCTGAGACTACAAGCTCAGCAAAGCCGTTGCCTCGGAGGAGCTCATGGGCCAGTCGTTCCACTGGCCTCGGGCTTGGTCCCACGACGGAAGTCCCGCCTCGATTTGATGGCTGGTCCTGAGCCGGTCGAAGCGGCCAATCCAGCTTCCGAAATTGGGCCAATGCCCTTTTGCTGCAGGCTTGCTTGCAAGGACGCCTGGTAGTTTGCCGCTCTTCCGCCAGTTAGGACTGTGCTCGTGACAGTGCCCCTAGCTTCTGAGCATGCGACTGAGAGACCTGACTGAAAAGGCATATTAGTCCGAACTTGTCGTAAGCATGTTGGTGAATGGCACACAATTGAGGATAATACGCGAGCAAATGATCTTCCTGTACGTAGATGTCCAGAAGAATCCCGTCAAATTCGAACTGCAACCAACAGAACCACAGTTGACATACTTCCAGAGGCGTGCCAGGGCGTTGGAAGACCTGCATGCCTTCAACTCTGTCCAACCAAGATATAGTTACTTCACCCAAGTCACACTGCATGAAAACCCCCAGGCGCCAGGGAACCTCAACACGGAAAACATCACGCCAATGAGGACAACAGGCTTGATGAATAATGGGGTGATGATGGCTGCACGTATCTGCGAAGCGCGAGAAGGTAGCCTGCCACGCCTGACGATCAGATGCCAACTCTGCCATTGCATCGGACTCCCGACCCAGAAGGCTGCACCCCCAGCGGTGCAAATGATTGAAAGGGCCCGGATGGGCTTGCTTGACAAGTGCTAGGCTGAACATGTCTTGTCTGGCAATGCACGTAGACGGTTTTCGAAGTAGATGTCCGAGATAGTTCCATCTTCGTCTGCACCAGATACGAGTCCACTGCTTATCAACATGGTGATTTAGCAAGACGAGAGTTGTTCTTCGGCGTAATCGGTGTAAGAAATGTGCCCAAGTATCGCGATAAGAAGAGGGAATGAACAGCCCTAACAGCAATACCAGAAAAGTGACCTGCACGGACCGCACCTTGTCCAAATACTTTTGCAAAGGCTCAACTAGAGGACTATACCAGAACCATGTCCCGCCCAAGTACTGATTACACATTTGCAACGTGCTGGGTACACAGCTCCAGTGGCCCTTTCGGAGGCATCGCTTCAAGGACTCGAAGGCCATGTGCGTGGCCTTCCCCATGGACTCGAGCAGTAACGCACTGGTATCCGCATAACCCCCTTCAGTGAACTGCGCGCCCGTCCGGAAATGAGTAAGCGGCTTCTTCAAATACTTGCACGATGTATCCCAGCTTATGGATGGAAGTATGCTGTCGGAGGGAAATGCAAACCGTGCGCCACGGTCCAGAACATCCCGGTGAGAAATGAGGAAAGTTTTGGCGGGATTCAGAGAGAGCCCTATGTTTTGCAACGCTGCCTGTAGCTGAGCCGTGAGTCGCGCTGCCTGTCCCCAGTCGGAGAAGGAGAGCAAGAGATCATCCACGAACAATATTGCGAAGGACGAGTGCTTGGTCAGCTCTCCTTGTTCCCGCCATTTGGTTTCCAATCTTTGTACAGCCAGGCCAAGAATATACGAGAACAGAACTGCTGAATGCGAACCGCCCTGTTGAACTCCAGAAGACTGTCCTATCGTCCAAGAATAACCCTGCCAATAGAACCGAAGCTCAGGAAGCAAAAGTAAACGGAGCATCTGCAACGACTCGTGTCCTTTGTCGGAGGCGCATTCATGCAGCATGAAATCGGCGATGGCAGACCGGTCCAAGGCATCAAAGGGCGTCTGAATATCACAGCTCAGATAGATGTTGTAAGCTTCTTGCTTGCTGTCTTTGGTGACTCTTGCTTGTGCCGCTAGGAGCGCATCACAGACTTGACAACCTTTCATACCTCCCAGTTGGGTGTTGGGAACAGTCCAGTGTGGTTGTAGCCTAGTGATCAAAAGCCAAGAGAACAGTTTGTGGATGCATTCGATAAGATTGATAGGTCTGTAATCGCCGGGCTTCTGTATAGATGACACCTTGGGCAACAGAGCGACTTGGGCTTCACACAAGCCCTGCGGAAGCGCGTCAGCGCGTAGAAGACAGTTCAAGTGGTGATGTAGAAGAGGACGTCCATCAGGCAGACTCCAGAGGGCTACAATGAACTCGTTGGAGATGCCACTCGGTCCACTAGTCTTGTCTAATTTTAATCTATCAACTGCCTGTTGGACTTCCTTCTCGGTGAAATCCGGGCTCGGGGCTCCGGCAGCTCTTGCTTGAAAGGTGTGCATAGCGTGCTCAACGAGCTGGTCCTGCTGTGGAGGAATGTCGGGGCTGAACAGCTTGGTATAATGTTCCTGCAGCTTCGAGGCTGCATTGGGCAAGCCCCCGGCATCCCGCACGAAGTCGTGAGTGCTCCCTTTCGCGGGTCCAAACCTCTGCTTTAAGTAGCGGATGGCCGTGTTATCACCTTCTCTGCTACGTTGATGAAGCCCTTGCATCCAAACAGTCTTCTCCAGATGTCGTAATGCTATGATCTGCCTAGTCAATTTTGCCTTTTCCAGTGGATCCGTAGAAAGACGACGTGATAGGCATAGGTTCTTCAAAGTGAGACTGTCTTGGTACTTGAGGGACGTCTTGGGTACGGAAGTGCTTTGTGCAGCCCCTTGGAGCACCTCCCATTGGCCATGCAGGTCAGTGGCCACAAACTGCTCTCGTAATGCGGGGAGTGCCCTCCGGAGCTTCGCAGTGTCACAGCTGGATTTGCAGCATCGGCTTCTGCGGAATCCCTGTCTCTGCTTTGGAGCTGTAACGATTGTGGCCCTATCGTCTTGTAAAACAACCATAAAGGAGATGCAGCAGTGATCGCTCCCTAGTTCAGTCCTAGTGAGGGGGTGTGCTTGGATGTCTGTCGAACCATCATCAGGAAGAATAAGTCGGTGAAAAGGTTGATTACAGCATAGATAATCCAATTCGCTGTCCGATTGCCGTCCGAACCTTGTAGCTGAATTTGATCGGAAAAACTTGCAACCTCTGAGGGTCAAAGATGAATCCAACGTGACGGCTCTTTCGGTGCCCGGATCACAATTGAAGTCACCAAGAAGAATTATTGGGGTATTCTTGTTTCTGATAAAGAGCTGGACCAGATCCCTAAGGGCGTCCTGAAACAGCTCATCATCGTTGTCCTTGTGAGGCATATGACAAGATGCCACTATGACACGGTGTCCTGTACCAGCCAAAACCAGCTCCGTTGCCAGAAACCTCTCACCTCTCCAAGCTGAAATGACATGATCAATGCACTCCTGCTGTAAAAGGATCATTTGTCCAAGATACGAACCGGTACTGACTGATCCAATAGCTGTGAAATGGCGCAACTCTCCCATATCGTGTAGAAGATACTCAAACACTTCGTTGCCGTAATCTTTGTTGATGTGCAGCTTACTAGTTTGACCAACTTCTTGTAAACAAAAGATATCATAGCATTCCCCAACCTCCCCATACCAAGAGTCAAGATGCTGCAAAGATTTCCCTTGTATGTTCCAAGAAGCGACATTGACAAACCCGGCACTGTAGTTCGAGTACCTTCTGGATCCATGCACAGATGATTGCTCGTGGGTACTTCAGGATTCGTGGATTGCCTTCTCCACTTCAGGTTCAGGCTTTTGGGTGGCCGCTGCCAGCGCTGAAACGTTGAAGTAGAAGACGGCTTTCTCTCCATACTCGTCTTGCAAGGTCCTGCAGACTTGTCTCGCATCGGCGGTGGCGTATAGATTGGAAGCAGCACTTGCTGCCACCCGCGTGTGACCGCACCATATGAGCTGCCTTTGCCAATCGATGTCTTCGACGGGTACGTTGGCGCCCTTGATGGTCTCAACGATCTCCTTCGCGCGTCTGGTGCCTCGGTTCTTCTTACGCGTGCCGGCAGACTTGTTCGGTGAGTACCAGGATTCGCCAGTGCCTGTTTTGATCTGAGCCCCATGTTTCTCCTGGAGGTCGAAGAATCTCTGTCTGGCCTGGTCCGGGGGAATGGTCTTCAGTATGACGTGGGCCGTGCGTGCACGTTGACCGTAGACGAACGTTCGTTCTACAGCCTGGCGAGACGGCAGATCCCACTTTGATACTGCATCAGCCACTGCGGCCTCGATCACTTTCCTAGTTGTGTCTCGTTGCCAGCCACCCATGACAATGTGGTTGTAGTCCGGGGAATCTTTGTCAGGAGAAACTGGGTTGGGAACAGAAT